TTTTGTCTTTATTGCGTCAAACGTCGTTTTAAAAACGTTTTCATTTTTTTCTCGAAAAATGTGAAAATAAAAACAGGATCAATTCTAAACACGGTACAAATTTCATTTCTCATCTAGTATCATGTTACATTATGAGATCAATACAAACTTCTGATATTTATGAACTATCATGGGCAGCTCATTTTTGTCAAGATATAAGCCAGAAACCAATAAAAAGAATCTTGTCAACATTCGGGTGTCTACACCCAATTATGAAAGGTGAAGCATTTTGAGCTTCTAGTACAGAAATCCAATCCTGCTCCGAGAAAACTGGGGAGAAAGTCCTGCCTGCTCTCAAGTTCCAGCCTCAGGAACTGCATAAGTGCACGCTCCTTTTATTAGACCCCTTTTCACCAATTCATCTCGCAATTCATCGGCTTCAACTACATTTCCTAGCTCATAGTATTTTCTCAGTAGACATACACATAAGATCTCATCAGGAAGGATACCCTTCCCGATCATTTCATCGAGCCATGTTTTCGCTTGTTGCACCTGACCGAACTGAGAAAACCCCCAGATCAAGGAAGTGTACGCATACAGATCAAGCTCCATACCCATTTCAATCATTCTGTTTTTCAAAGTCAAAGCTTCTTGAAGATGCCCGTGCTTCAAGTTCCCATCAATTAGGGTTGTGTATGCAGTTCTGTCAGGAGATATACCTTTTTCTAGCATTTCATCAAAAAGCTTCTTAGCTGCCTCAATGCGATTATTTTTACAAAGCCCGTCAATTAAGGCTGTATAAACTGCTACATTAGGTTGCAAACCGATGCTAACCATCCTATCAAAATAATCAGTCGCCTCTTCGACCAACCCCCTTTTGCACAAACCATCAATTAGTGCACAATAAGTTACAACGTTGACCTCAATCCCATAGTAATGCATTTCTTGCAGGAGCAAGAGCGCCTCCGTGGTTTTTCCCGCCTTAAAATAGGCATCCATAAGTGTTGTGTATATGAAATGATTTGCATTAAGACCGCGGCTTCTCATTTCATTGACCACGAGCTCAGATTCTTCAAGCTTATTTTGGCTGCACAGACCCCAAATGATAGTTCCATACAGTAACAAGTCAGGTTTTATTTTTTTCTCCTCCATTTCTTTCAAGGTTTGAAAAGCTTTCTCCGTCTTCTTGGCCTTAACATATCCATGAACAAGGGAAGAATAAACCTGCAGGTTAGGAGTTACTCCAGCCTTCAGCATTTCCATGAAGACCTTTTCTGCTTCCTTCATTCTACCGTCTTCACAAAGGCAATTCAGTAAAGCTGAATAACCTACAATATTCAAGTTAATTCCTGCCTGTAACATCTCGTTTGTCAGCTTCAATGCTTCGGTTAGATTACCTGCTTTACAATTTGCATCGACCAAAGAAGTATAGGTGTACTCATTAGGAAAAAGGCCAACTCGTCTCATATCCACAAAAAATTTAAGAGCCTCCCGCATCATCCCTTCTTTACAAAAGGCATCAATTAGTGTGCTATAAGTCACAACATTCGGCTTCAACCCATGATTCCTCAACTCATGGAGAAACTCCAAAGCTCGAGGCAGTCTTTGTGATTTACCAAAACAATTAATCAAGGCGTTGAAAGTTATTATATCAGGTTCACAACCTACATCTTTCATCTTTTCAAATATGCAAATCGCTTCATCCATATTCCCAACCTTCCCAAACCCATCTATAAGAGAATTATACGTCACAATATCGGGAATCAATCCTCGATGTTTCATTTCTTCAAACAAGCTTCTAGCTTCATCCATATCACCTTCCTTGCAGAGATAATTTATCATTATGTTATATGTGAAAACCGAAGGGGCAATCCCGGCCGCAACCATGTCCTTAAAAAACTTTCTTGACATATCAACCTTTCCCAACTTTGAAAGCCTATGCAAAAACGCATTGCAAGACCGCGGCTTTGGCAAAACATGAAACTTCCTCATCTTCAAGAAACACTGGTTTGCTTCCTCGAGCATTCCCAACTCAACCAAAACACTAAACAATGCGTCAAAAACTCCAAAGCCCGGAACACAAACGTTCCTCGTCGACCACAACACATCGAAAACATCACAACCCGGCAAAACCCGGTTCGACGACACCAATTCTCTTAGAACTCCGTTGGCATCAAAGAACATTCTAGCATAAAAGAGAATGTGAACCAAAATACAATACGACTCTGCGGTGTGCCGAAACCCCGTTCTGTTCCTAACCCATTTGAACAACTTCAAAGCCAAAAACGGGTACTCTTTCAGTTCTACCAAAAACCTAGAAACCAAAATCGGCGCAATGGCAGAATCGAACAAATTAACGATCTTTGGATCATGCCACTGGTCTTGTTCAACGATTCTACGCAACTGCTCTCTATCCAAAACTTCAAGAGAAAAACTAGCGCTCGATTTCGAATAAAATGGAAAACGAACAAGGAACAAAAAACTGGTGAACCAAGCCAAAGGGCAAGCTACAATACAACTATTGGATGATTTTCCGTAAACGCTACGTAAAGAAGGAAGAAGATCGCAGTTATGAGGGTATGGAATGGAGGGAGAAAAAGGGCTTACTCTGGTTGAAGCTCTGCGACTGGTGTGGAAGAGGTTGCGAAGAAAGAGAAGCATCTTTGTGAAGAAGACGAAGATGAAGAAGGGGAAGAAAGAAATGGCGGTTTTAGGAGACTTCATATTTCAGAGAGATTGGAGTTGCATGATTGAGAGTGAGATTGGAAGTGAGAAGATTTCTGGGCAATCATAAGGTCTTTGGGAAGCTCAAAACAGAAAATGGCGAAGTTAGGAAGATGGTCTTCTTGTTAGGGTTTATCCCCAAGGGGTTTTTCATTTATTAATTTAGTGGTTAGAAGATTTAAACCACGTGATTTAAATTATTTTTAATTTATATGAATTTTTTATGAGAAAAAATACTGTAACGAATTATGAATCATGATTCAAATCATGGAACGAATTTCTCTACCAAATATCCTCTTATTTTTTAGAATTGTTTTTTATATTTGCACGCTTGCTCCTGAATTTATCACTTATTGACATATATGCCACCTGTATTCTTTTTCTTTAGGCAATTGCCTCGAAAGTATAGATATATGTTGCAAAACACACAAATTTGTTGACGGTGTTAACTTTACTAAGAAAATTGACATGTGACTTATACATGAGTCATTAATTAAGAGTATGGGTGCTCATTTACATATAGTTTAAGTTTAACCTAATTTATTGGGGTTAGACTTTTAGAAATTAAATTTTTAAAAATGTCATGATTATCTTTTTTAAATTATATTAAATGTTGTTTTAGACATGATTTGATTAAAAAGTTAAATAATAAAATTTAAAATGCTCAAATAAATATTTCGATCAAAGAAATACCTCAATTATTTTGAAAGTTTAAGATTGATTTTATTTACATTTTGGTTTAATAATGTTTTAAATAGTATTTAATAAAGATTGGGAAGGGTAGTTTTGGTATTTTAAAAAGTTTAGTTGTTTCAATGGGCGTTTTGGGTATGTTTTTAGAAACATAGGAAGTGTTTTGAGCATTTGCATAATAAAAGAGACGAAAGTGGTATTTTGACAAAATACAGAGATTATTTTAGATATCTTATCAGTTAAATAGAGATCAAAATACAACTTTTTAAAGTATCCAAAACGCTTTGCAAGCTCATCAATATATCAACCAACAAA